TGATGAGGGGGATACTTGCAAAGCAGAATCACCTCCCTATCAAGGAGGGACACCCACAAGCACCCTGACTCTGCAAATATCCAGAACTCTCCGACTGTTCCATTTATTTAGGGAAAAGTGGAGGCTTGGCATTGGTATAGAAGAGGCAGCTTCTGCGAATTTGAGACTGTCCTGCCAGGAACATTCTCAAAATTTTACCTGTCCCCATCACCTACTGGAACATAGCTTTAGCCTTCTACCAAGATCTTGTTCACATACCTGGATTTTGCCCTGACCTGAAGTAGAAAGGGTGCTCCTACTTATTTTCTAATAAAATTTGTTTCAATCTAAGCTAAGAACCTAGGAGCATCACTAGGGAGGGAACAAAGACATCTCTCAAGTCATTTGAAGGTGAAAAATACTTCCATAGGAAGTACAATGATCTTAATTAAATATTATCTGTAATTAGCCTAAAGTGCAAATGTTGGGAATATTAATTAGGGTCTCTCTGGAGCTGCTGTCGGTGTTAATAAGTAACTGTAGGGGGTCCTGCCAACATCTGTTTGAGACCTCCAGGTACAAGATGCTATACAGAGCCCAATGTACCTGAATGCTAACTACTTACTGTCCACTTGGTTTTCCCTGATTTGATCCTTAGAGCTTGACACCTTGTGTCTGCCAGAGTGGCACAAATCTTGGGAGATTCAGGTGCTCTGGCTTCACAAGTACTCTTAGCTGGTCCTTGCCTACCTTGTGACAGAGTCAGAGGATTCTTAAGCCATGCCTTAAACTTGAGATGGCACAGAGGTTTCCCATACTGCTGTGCCACCAGGTACTCAATGTTACCATGTGCATCTGGCAAACAGAATCACAGATATCTTGCACCCAGCACCTCAGCGTCTAACCTCCCTAAAGTAGGAGGTGAAATAGGTTTAAGTACCATGATAATCATCACAGAGGAGGATGTGAGCCTTCCATAAGCTGATCTGGCATCCACAGTAGATGATTTTCTTGCAAAATGAGAGCTGAAGATGTATCTGAGTTCAACTACTTGCTTTCCCATGAATGACCTTTGCTCTGGACCTTGAACTTTTTTTTCCTCTCAGTTCTAGATGAAGCTTTTCTGACTGCTAAGTTAAATTGATTAGGTGTCTAGTACATGCAAAACAAGAATTCTAGACATCAGCAGTATTAGCATTTGGGGCCCATGGGTAGTTCATTGAGAAGAGAACCTAGTTTTTACACTACAGGGATTTGGCAATATCACTGTTGATCAAGGACTAAATGAAAAACATAGCCATCCTGAGCTATCACAGCCCAAAATGTCTGCCTCAAATCTCCTTGGAGTACCCATACATGTTTGAGAACTGTTGGCATAATGTACCAATCTTGAGGTGAAGAACAATGTTGCTCATCTTGTCTTCTGAGGACCAGTGAGTAGAAGGGACACCTGTGCCGTGTGTGACTGTCTCTCTGTGCTTGTTTGTTTGTGTCCAGTGCATCCATCTGAGATTATAATCACACATCTATTGAAGGGAAGATAATTCCAGAAGAGAGATTCTAAACTATTGTGTGTACCATCATCACTCTTGTCAATATGGCAAAACAGCCAAGATCTCTCCTTCTTTGCATAAAGAGAACATGTCGCTTTTCTTTTCTTCTAGTGTAGCTGTCAGCTTCATGTCTCCCCCAACTCTTTATGCAATAATGGCTCCTTAGCTGGATTTCCCATTTCTACTGCTCTTCTGCCATAGCTGCTGGAAACGTTTTTCTACATAGGTCCAGACAGTAAATAGTTTAAACTTTGAGGGTCATACAGTCTCTGTCACAGCACACCAACTCTGTGCTTGATGTACAAAAGCAGCTGTAGGCAATTTGTTAAACAAATGAACCCATTTATTGGATTAGGTACCAATAAAACCTTATTTACAAAAATAAGCAGTGGTCCAAGTTTGCATCATCAGTTGTTTGCAAAGCCAGCCTCTGTTGGATGTGGTCTGTAATTCTTCCAGGAAAAGTACTTAAGTTCCATACCAAAATAGCACAGGAAGTACACACACACACACACACACACACACACACACACACCACACAAATGTACACCTGTTGGGTCCTTTGGCTCTTAAGGGACAGAAAACCACCTTAAAGAAGACCCAATAGCAGGGCCTAGAGGCTCATATCTATAATCGCTGCTACTGAGAGAGGAAATGACAATTCGACTCCTACCTGGATGACCTCGTGAAGGAAACCCTGTCTCAAAAATGAAAAGCAAAGCTGGGCACTGGTGGCATACATCACTAATCAAAGCATGCAAAGGTCAGAGACAGGTGGATCTCTGAGTTCAAGGCCAACCTGGTCTACAGAGTGAGTTCCAAGACAGCCAGGGCAACACAGAGATAAGCTATCTTAACAAAACAAGGCAAACCAAAACAACAAAACAAACAATAAAATGAGAGAGAGAGAGAGAGAGAGAGAGAGAGAGAGAGAGAGAGAGAGAGAGAACACAACTCAGTAGTGCTAGTACACTTGACTTGCATGCATGAGGGCCTGAGTTTTATCACTAAAGGGAGGAAAAAGAAGAATGAGAAGAGAAAAAGTGATTTCAGAAGTTTGAATTATGCAAGATGAAGCTGCTCTGGGAAAGTCAAATGGAGAATTGAGATGGCTATTTAAACAGTCATGTATGATTCTAGGAAGATGGATCCTAAGTGAGATCTTCTCAAAAATGCATGAGTACACAGGTGTGTGGACAAATGGGCAGAGGTTGTGGGGAACTGATGACCTGGAGCAGAGAGGCCTTTTCACGTTGTATGTATAGCGTCACCAAGTAATGTCTAAAACACATACATTTTCTGTTAATGGTAACTTAGGCAAGCTATTGGAATAAAGAATTATGTGTGTTTATATATGTATATTTGTGTGTCAATATATGTGTGTGTGTATATATATATATATATGTGTGTGTGTGTGTGTGTATATGTGTGTGTGTGTACATACATATATACACACATATTCTTTTTCTCAAGCAGGGCTGTTTCCAATTGCCCATAAAGATAGATCCAGTCTTGATATGATTTCATGAAGACTTGAGTACTACCTGTCTCCCCAGCCTCTTGGCACCATTTTGTTTTATGTAACCTCACCTGGACACAGGCCCCAGGCTTACATTTTTTTTTATAGCTTTCTACTATTTTGACTACTATATCACAGTGGAAAGAGACCTTCTCGAACACTATAGCAAAACCCAGGCTGATAAGAACTCATTAGTATGACTAGAAAGAAAACTGAAGTTTTTACTAAAGAAATGGTCACGAGCCTACACTGTGATTGGCAGCTGATATCATGTGGCTGACTCTGGTGGAAACTCAGAGACCACCAGGGACAGAGCATAGCCACTTCTGCAATCCATGGGCTGAGGGTGAATGTCCTTCAAAACGGAAAATGGGAGCATCTTTGAAGAATTCAGTGTAGGCTCTGAGCATCAGTGAGTCAGTACATATCGTCTTCTGGAGTTAGATAGGCTTATGTAAACCACCCACCCTGAGCCAAGGCTGACCTGCTGCTCCCTCAGTGGTACAGGAAAATGGTCAGAACAGAAAGAAGTGTGCTCTCTTCCTAGCGGCACAGATGTTGGAACTGTTATGGAGGAAGAAAGAGCTGGTGGAAATGTATTCCTTGTACAAGTATTTAAACTTCTGCTAAGCTTCGTTCTCTTGCAAGGACCAACTTCAACACTGTACAATTAATGGTCCTCAAGAAACAAAGGCATGGGCTCTGTATCTGAGCTTTGCTTAAGTTACTGTAGTAGAGGCTGAGGTCTCCTGTTGATGATCCATAATGACCTTTGAACCCAGAATCCATGTAGGATAACTAATGTAACATGTGATTGACCATAGAAAATGGGAGAGGCCACTGTTGGCTCAGCTTAACTGCCTGCTTCCCTGCTTGCTTGCTTTCTCTCCTTCTGTCTCTATTTCTCTTTTTCTTTCCTCTTTCTTTCTCTCTCTCTCTCTCTCTCTCTCTCTCTCTCTTTCTTTCTTTCTTTCTTTCTTTCTTTTTCTGGCTATACAACTACATCTCTTGAGACCGTGCTCGTTTTAAACCTCTGGACTATTTTCTTATGCTTTCTGCATATGTGTATCTGGAGTGTGTGAAGCCGGGTGGAGTTATGGGGGTGGAGGTGGAGGGAGGGAGATGTTTCCAGAAATGGAAACATTTGAATTCAGGATTTTTTTAAAAAAATTCTTTTGACTTGACTGTAATTATCATACAGAATGTTTAGGCTATAACTGAAGGGGGAATTGTTATATAATGTCCTGTACTTATGTATTTTAAAAAAGAGGCAGGATGATGTACCCTGATTAATGGGGCTAAGAGTTAACTAGCATCTAGCATCTAAAAGGGAGAAAGTAGAATGATCTCTAAATTAAGCCCTACATTTCCATGACTACTTTTTATCACTACTAGGGCCATCGTAGATACAACAACACACAGATGCAACATACTGACACATGTGTAAAAACACACACACATACTCACACCACTGATAAGATCTTTACTGGGGACCCTTCCAAATCATCCAATCGTTGAATTTAGTCCAAACGCATCTCGAAAGCACACGCTCAAGCCATTTGACTGTTCAGCACAATATTAAATTAGTACTTCACTGTCACCATAGACATCATGAAACTAGCCTTGTCCAAAATTGAGATGAAACTGAGAGGATCCGGCAGTGGTGTACAGAGCTGACAGTCTCAGAAAGTAGTATTGAAGGTCTTGGGGAATGTGACGTCGTCGTGTTCCTTTATATATACTTTTTTCTTTTCCATCTGTAAATCGATAATGATGATCATCAATTTGCCCACGGTGTGTGGTGAGGCTTGGCTGAGAGACCAACCTTTATGACTCTAGCTGGGCCCTAGAAAGGGTGCTGAAACCCAGTTCCTGGACTGTGGGGAACAGTTCTGTTTGTGGAGCTCTAATGGTGTTCTCTTCCCTTCTTTGTTTCCCTCCCTCAGGGTAATCAGGAAGCAGCGGCCGCCCCTGACACAATGGCTCAGCCTTATGCCTCAGCGCAGTTTGCTCCACCCCAGAATGGCATCCCTGCAGAATACACGGCCCCTCATCCCCATCCCGCACCAGAGTACACCGGCCAGACCACTGTCCCCGACCACACATTAAACCTGTATCCTCCTACACAGACGCACTCGGAGCAGAGCGCTGATACCAGCGCACAGACCGTCTCAGGCACCGCCACAGTAAGTGGATGCTACATTCCCGACCTGGAGAGTACTGTCCCTGAGCAGATGCCCTGGTCATGTATCTGGTAGTGGACAGCGTATCCTGTGTGCTGGGGATTTTGACAAGCAAAGCAGCTCTAAACCTCTCCATACACCACCATCTTCTCAGAGATTTTTTTAGTGATTGGGCAATCTTATCTGTTTTGTAGAATGAGTTTTCTATAGCTGTATATATTAATAAACAGACACGGCCATCTATTCTTTCTGTGTCTAACGTGCTATGTTCCCCACAGTCTAAGCTTCCTTCTCTTCTACCATCCCAGTGGAATGCATACTTTTAAAAATGATTTCATTGAAGTGTAGGGGTCTGCAGATGTGGATGGAAGGTAGAACACTTGCTTAGCATGTCAGGTTCCTGGGTTCCATCTTCATCTCTGCAAAACATGCAGTCACAAAACAAAACAGAGCACCGTAACATGGACCCGTAGAGGTACCACAAATTTGCTCATTTTAGTGTATGATTTGCTGATTTTGAGAACAGCTGTGCAACCATTGCCATAATTTGATTTCAGAACATTTTTATTGACCTTAAAGCAAAGCTTGTACCATTTCTAGACCAGAAATCATCTTGGCCTTGGAGGCCCATCTATATTCTGAGTGTCCACGCTTTCTGGTGTGTTATTTGTTTGTTGGATCAGGTCTGAAGTAATCTAGACTGACCTGCAGCTTCCTGTGTAGGTGAAAATTACTTTGAACTTCTGATCCTCCTTTCTGCACCTCTAAAATCCTAGATTATGGGGCACACGACCATGAGCAGTTTATGCAGCGCTAGCACTGGAACCCAGGGCTTGGTACATGCTTGGCAAGCACTCGACCAATTAAGCTACAGTATCCAGCTGTAGTCGGTGGGATTCTGTTACTGGCATATACGGATGTGAGGGAACATGTGTTGGACCTTAAGAATATACACTGAAAGTTAGATTGGATGGATAAAAGGTAAGCAAGCAAACAGAACAAAAAGATACATTTTGTCACCACCCTATATTAAAACTAGGATAGTGGGCCAGTATCAAACATGACATTTATAATTATGTTAAAATTAGATGGTGCTCATCCATGAACTACCTATGATAATTAAGAATCCATAAACTTGTATAGGCCATATTGGGGGAAATGTCCCCTGAAGAGTTCCTTAGAGAAATGGACACACATAATGTCTAGTGTATAGCCTTTTAAAGGCTTAAGATAAGGTCGTCTTTTCCTTCCACATTTAAGGCCCTGGGAACCCAGAATACTTTTTTGCACACATAATACATTTGTGAGATAGAGGAAATCACTGGGTAGCTTAGCTGCTTGGCTCTGTATCTATTTCAGGACCAGACTTTGACCATAGTAAAAGTAGCATATACTCAAACACTTTCTATTGCTTCCACAATCTGGATTTTGTTTCTATAGTGTACATATCACCTATAATCAATGCCTGGTATACAAAACTCAGAGGCATTATTACATTCTCTGTGAGTGTGGCCATCTCTACCATCTGGTTCCACAGCCTGTTCATCTCCTCAGAAACGAATTCTTCCAGCCAACCTCCCCATCTCCCATCCCCTGCCAGTCTTCGATTCCTCCAGCAGGCTGGCACCCACCCATCTTCTTTCCACCATCTATGGATTGGCCTTTTATGGACAGGTCTCACCATCCAGACCTATACTACAAAGTGTTTGGTGTTTGACTACATTGAAGCATGGTTTCAATGTTGCCATGGTTACTTGGCATTGCTACTCTGTTGTGTGCCTAGTGCTCACTATTGGCAGTTATCTGCCCAAGCACTGTCAGATGCTTCTGTCTTCTCGGTATTGGAAATGTTGCCACTGCCATGGGTAGTATTTGGCTGGCCTTCCTTGGGATGTGTTCATTGGGTTGGTTTTCTGGGTTATCAGGGTTTTGTGGTAGTCATATTAGCCCACAGATAGGAGCTACTAATGCAATGGAAAGCACAAATACTTGCCCACAGATAAACAACTTGTCTTAGGTCAGTCAGATGGAATAGCACTCATCAATGCAAAAGACTGAGCAACACTATGGATGAATTGAAAATAACAATGCCAAGTTACAGAAAAGACAGTTAAAAAAAAAAAGCGATTTGTCATTTGGGCCTGGATATGATGTTTTAGAACTTACAAAATTCTTAGACAATAGTTATTAAGCTAATTCTGAGATGATGAGGTTTAGGATTAGAAAAGCTACGGACTGTCAGAAACAGGGTACCAGACTACAAATGAAACCAGACAAGGGTGGGACCATGGAGACCTAGGACCTGAACTCAGTACATGGTTAACTTCACAGTGTGGGGATTAGTGAAGGCCTGGGGACATGAAGGTTTTTTTGGTTTGTTTGTTTCTTTTCTCTCCCTGCAGTTGTGGGAAGAGACACCAGGAGAGTGAGAAGTGAGTGCAGGATAGAATAGAATGGTGAAGAGTAGGGAGGCCATTCAAGGAGGCCACGAGTCAGGAATTGAAAGGGCAGAGTGTGGAGGGGCTGGCAAGGTCAGAAGTCAAGGACTCAATGCCAGAGTCAGAGAAGGGAGCTTTGAACATCTTAACTGATGGTAATGAGGAATGGCCAGGGAAGACAGCAGCAGAGGTGACCAGCAACTACAGAGAACAGTTCACAGGGTGAGGGGTTTGGGTTCACTAATTTAAGCCAAGGAAAGCTCTCTGTCTAAGAGACACAGCGGGGACAGGACATAGAACATAAAGATACACCGTGAGGGATAGGGGAAAGTCCAGCAACAGCATGCTTGAAAGGAAAACCAAAGGAATGGGCCATATGCAGATTTGAAAGAGCAGGGACAACAGGAAAGAGGAAACTTTAATATTTTTATAGCTGTATAGATGTACAATGTGCAATGTGTATATACACATCTGGAAAGAACATACTTGATTCACCTTTATCAATGAACACATGCTTGGAACTTTTACCAAAATCAAAAGCAATGAAAAGATGCATCACCCGCAATGTTTCTGCTCCCTGTCATCTTCCCGTTCTTGTTCTTTGCCGATTTCCCAGGAGTCTAAAGGAGCCCCTCCTTCTGCTGCACTCTTTGTCTTCAGAGTTCCTATCAAACAGTCTGTGTTCCTGTTCTCTGCTAATCACCACACTGCTTCTTCCACACTGTTGCATGTCTAAGTAGCTCACTTTACATTGCTGAATACTATTTCAGTGCATGGGCATACCACAGTATATTTCTCCGTTTACTTGCTCACAGACATCTGGGGTGTACTCCATGCTGACTCATAGGAAATACAAGGAATATGAACTCAAATTAGCAGATCAATTTCAAAACAGAAGACAAGCCAGGACAAGTGTGATAGAGTGCAGAGACCTTGGCTCCAAAATGGAACCTGAGACAAACACTTTCTTAAGACATTCCTTTTCTTACTCTGTGTCACTTCATCATCTCATTTATGACTCAGAATTAGGGGTAGCATTTAGAACCCGGGGAGGGGTGTGATTCTGAAGTTGGGCAACTGTGCCAGGAATACACTTCTAAGAATTCCAAGACTATCTGAAGGCAGAGAATTCTTGAGTTTGGAGAATGTGCTTATGGGGTGGGGCTGGCTATCACTTTGTCTTCTCTGGTCACATTTAAGTGATGCATACCATAAGAGAGGGCATTGTAGAGGAAAGATGCTGTCTTTTCTGCTACAAATAATTAATGTAGATTCTTCTTCCTCTTTGTCCCGAAAAGGTGACACTTATATGTGTCTGGGTATATGCTCATGCAGAAGCCAAAGGGAGACATTGAATGACTTCTGTCTCTCTCCACCCTAGTCTCTTGAGACAGGATATCACACTGAACCTGGAGCTCACTGTCTTTTCAGCTCGGTTGGCAGGCCACCAAGTCCCAGGTGTGGCCTGTCTCCAACCCCACAGCAGTGGCCTTACTGGCACACCATGAGCACACCTGGCTTTTATAAATGCAGGCTGGCTACTGAGCTCAGGTGCCCAGGCTTATGTTCATCTGCTCTTTGCCTGCCAGTCTCCTCTCTCTGCCTTCATTACCTACTTTTGATTTTTTCCTGATTTGAACTTGTCTATGACAAGTTTACTTCGAATTGTCTCTGTCTCCCCACATCTTGATGGAGTTGATTTCTCTTCCCCTCAAGTTCTATATTGCATGTGGAAGGAATTAAACTCTAAAGTAGGTCAGAACAATGCTTCTCTCAGTGCTGGATGCATAGTCTTATATTGACAGAAAGTTACTGCTAGGCAGAACCTGTAGCTCAGCTCTAGAGCATGTACATAGCATAATCCATAAGGAAAAAAGAAACCGTCAGTGTTAGGAGGATAGCTAAGATATTCCTTATAGGAAAGTGCTATCCTGGAAAAACTACCCTTTGACATATATATCCATGATGCTTAATGTCATTTTAAGGACATTGTGGAGGCCATGCATTCTCCATCCATATGGTAGCTCTAAGAACATCCAATATATGCACATGACTTAACACAAATTGCAGGATCTTGAAAGAGAGACAGTGAGCAACCTCGAGCTCCCAACCACAGCTAAGTAAAGCAAGGACAGACAAGCCTTAGCAGGTCGTCTCTACCATTCCCCGGGGCTGAGACAATTCCCCGCAGGACGTTTTTCTGCTGAGTTTCTATTTTGTGTAGGATTCCAAACATATCACGGATCACGGTGCTGACAGAGCCATTGCTGTATTCTCCTGGATACTGTTCCTGACAAGGTATTTTACTCTTGACATATTATAATTAGAGATTTGCGAGTGGAGAATTCTCCTTGTATCTCCAATAGCAACTTGACTTCTATTTTTAACACCTCTGCAGTCTGCTTAAGTCTTCTACACTTTCCCACTCACTCTGAACTCTTTTAGGAGAAATAACACAGGTCCTGAAGCCAAGTCTCTGAGCTGGGCTCTGCTGACAGGGAGGAGAACTGTCAGAGCAGCCTCTGTGGTTTCTAGAAGGACTTTTACCAATGTCCCCAGATTTTC